ATAATTTCTAATGATTTGATTTGTATCACTTTATAACATTTATATTAATCGAATAAACTCGTTTTCATTCTAAATTTATTTTGATCAGGTCGATACCACTATGAGGTTCATTCACAGTGACGATCTTTTAAATCCTCAGATACAAATGCTGTGGTAACTGTACCCATTCATCGTTTTTGTCTACTGCTGCGCCTATAATACTCAAATAAAGCTTCGAAACGACATACGTTAAATGAACGATCACAATCGAAAGCATAGCTCAATTTTTTCATGTTTCCATACTCAAATAATCCAGTTGCAAGCAAATTTGATGCAAGATTTCACCACAAGCTTCCGCACCTTGAGGTGTCTGTTTTTCACTTTATTTGAAAACTCCTTGATAAGTTGAGAAATGTTCGTTTCAAATTGCAAAATTTTATGCGCTGTTGTCAAATAGCTAATTGCAAGCAATATAGTGATTGTAAATTTCAAAAAATTGCTGATTATTAACAATCATTGCGTTGGGAAACTCGATTACGTGTAAATACATGCAAATTCATTGTTTCAAAATATTTCGTTTGCTTTTTTGTGGCAAAATAAACTGTTTACATCTTTGCTGATCACATCATGGTCATGTAACTATCAGTGTCATCGCACAAAATCAATTATTTAATAGAAAAAACGATCGATTTCAGTTCAAAAGATCATTTCTTATCGGCTGCAATCAGAACGAGAAAGGGGTGCTGCAATAAGATTTGAAATATGCGAACGTTCTTTGCTAGTTCTTTGAGCGCTACCGAACGACAATTCTGTATATCCTCGATCGTCGTTAGATAGTCACGTAATTGTTGAACAAAATAAATTATCACACTGAGGAATGTTCTCATGCAAATTTCTTTCCGAACTCCAACATATCTCCACTTCGAATGCATTACGAATGGTGCTTCATGCATCACTCTCATACGAAGTTGAGATGAACAAAACCGAAAAAACTGATGTAAAATTTCAATTATGCCGACGTTCTGTGTTGAAATCAATGAATAATACGTTAACATCAATATGCTTTTAGAAACATTTATTCTGCTGAGCAGATCATTTCAAATAATTGCAGAAAGAAAAAGTTTTTAACTTGAAACTGTTGCATGTATGCACTACCTCGGCCGATGTAATGAAATCGACCAGTCATGCCTTCGGCAATCTTGCGTTTAGCGAAGTAGGCCAAATAGCATTTTTGCTTAAATAATTCGAAAACAGCTGTATTAATTTTATCGAGTTTGATTTTCAGAACTCAGCCAACATTTTTATGATTGCATGGATGGCTCATAACTTTTCTTAACCAAGCCTCCTTCTTGCTTATGCATAATTCGTCTCATCACCATATGTATCACCATAATATTTGCCAATCCGGATCATCGAATAATCATGCAAACAACGTAACTCATTCAGCACAATAACATTATATGATATTCACATAATCGCCCTTCGAAGAGTTAGGTACTGTCCACATGGATGAATAAAATAATCAAATATATTACTACTTCACCGTATCACACTTTCCACTTTTCCGAATTATGCTCATCCGTTTCATCTAACACAATCGAATCGGTGATCCGTCCACATATAACTCCATGTCTTCACTCATTTGACGTCTGTTGGAATGTCGATGGTCAATACCTCACGTCACTTGGCTGTACTTCTGAATACTCTTACATCTGTATGATTGCCGATACGTTTACGTAGCGCATCCGTTGACACTTACATTCAATCTCATGCGCCAAATAAACGCAAATTTAAACAATTCATGTGCTAAGATTGGTTTGCTCCCGACACCGTAACGTGGCAATACCGAATATCAGTATCAGAACTCAAATATCCTCTATGCCTTTAGCATGTGTGTATCCTCTACGACGTAGAGGGTAAACGCATGTTAAAGATAGCACATATTAAAGCATCTGATTTGAGTAAAGACGCAAGGCAAGTACGGGATGAACATAACAAACAAAATGATGCTCACTGCTCCATCAAAAAGTTTGCTTCGTTACTTTGCTTCGGCTTTCGCCTTGTTGTTAATGCTGCGATATCAATACATTTCACAAAAAACGTTCATAGTCACTTTCAGCAGAGAGCTTACAGGTGAGATTATTCACAATGCACTCTTATTTGTGAAATATGTAACCCGATCATGACTAGTTAAATCTTTTAGTCCGATCTGTTTTTATCAACATCAAGCGATCATAATTCCTCTCATTATTTATTATTTCTCGAATTCTGTGGGAATGTAATCACTTCATCGCAATCGACGAATCGACTAGCCCTGGGCCCGTGGGTCCGAACATCTTATGTGCAACAGAAATGTGTGGGCGGGGGTGTAGGGTGTGTGGTCATTAAAAATTTATTGTGATATATGTTTTTTATAGCTCTTAATATTGTAGTTATCAACACAAAAGTTCGTTTTTAAACCGCTCACTTAAGCAATTTCATACAAATCTTATTCCCGACGATGTATGCTGCGCTCAGAATTGATGAATATGGAGTTGGACGCCCAAAAAGGCGACGGTTTAATATTTGTGGAGGAATTGATTTCTGACATAATTTTTATGAATTTCAGGTTCTGCAAACCTTCGTGCCTTTAGAAGGTTCATTCATGGAAATGAGCAGTTTTAATCAGAAAGTAACTTGACAATTGACTGATGAAATGGTTAGGAAATATGTCATTGAAAAAAGCCAAGTTGTGATGAATGTTTAAATGGGGAATTTGCTCCCTTCTCCTTTGCATTCACAATCTGCATTCATAATGACTCATTCATATTCTTATCACTGCTATCAGCCCACTAATATCTCCTCACATTGGTATAGCTACTAATGCTTGTAAAGCGATATGTTAAAAAGCAATATTAACATTATAAATTATTATTTTGTCATTCCAGCTGTATTAGTCGTGAGAATCATATGATCAAGCTTGATAAGGACAATGTTTTATCATGCTCCTTGACCAACGAATATTGTTGTTTAGATCGAAATAATTTTAATTCAATGCGAGCTCATAACCATGTGCAGTCTCACCGTTAGCTGCAGCATAATTCCATTCCCGATTTCACTTTAAACAAATGAATTCGAAATGTTGATATCGAATCCTCATTCCTTCATTCCATCAGCAATTACAATGAGAGTAGACATTGCAATAATGTTTCATTACGTAAGGAATGTCAATTTGAGTTTATCACTGATAATACGTAGGAATCATTTTTGATCTGTTGATGTCCCTCTTTCGTTCCCGTACGAAATTATGCATAATTTAATCTCGAACATCGACTGTCTCGATGCATCAATAGATTACAACTGTTTGGTAATTACCTTTCTTTTTAGATCACATCATCGAATACATTGAACGTTAACGAGCAAACAACTTCAGTGTTCCACAAGCCTTAACTTCTGACCACTGGCGTCTCCTTGTGAACCTTCAGAATCTAGAAATCTTCATCCAGAATCCAACTTCTTAAGATAATAATAATATTCATAAAATACTAATAATAATATAATAACAGTAATCAAATAATAAAATGCTAATATAATAGGAATAATAAAATTGTAACATTAATAACAATAATATAGTATAATATAATATAATGTAAAGTAATTTAATGTAATATAATATAATATGATAATATTATTATTTTTGTTTTTATTATTATTATTATTGTTAATAGTAGCAGCAATATTAATAATGTGTCAATAAAGTAAGTTATCGTTTCAGAATGCAACGTAAAGTCATAATAATATGTTCCGTAGCAATCCTGCTATCGTTAATCAATATTACAGAGGCTTGCTGTTGTGATCCCCACCCATCACCCCCTCCTCAACGTAAGCTTGTTTTAGGATTTTGACTTCAATTAACAACTAACTGAAAGGTGTCAATACCACCGGAGCGTTTATGGAAATGGGCAGCTTTAACAATACTGAACTTCATGTCTTATTACGTACTGCAGTAATCCTGGCAATGTTGACTGTAAGAAAACCTCTGATGGGTGGTTAGAATAGTCCTAAACGCCTGAAAGGCTGATTAAAAAACCGACTGCAACTTCGAAACTACTGGTCATTCCTTTAATTGTAAGATGGGAAACGAAATTAAATTTCGCACAAATTTTCACGATATGATCAATTCGTATACGTTTGATCTTATCAATGTTTGATCTTATCAGGTGAACATGAAAATTTTTGAATAAATTCTCTAGCATGAATACCTCTTTTGCAGCCCGTCCTATACCACCTTGCTATATCGCATTTCTCATAGATGCATCGGGCAAAGCTAAGCATTTCCAGCAAGAGGTTAGCCTTATGATTTGTCTCATATAAAAACGCAGGATGTCCTCAAAAAAGGTGGTGGTCTTAATTTCTCGAATTAGATTTATTTAGATGGAATTTTTGAAGATTCTTCTGAAATTTGGCATATGTACTGACTTTAGGTTGAGTGTGACGGTTCTGAATTATTGGCGATTTCGTTTTAAATATTCTGAAAAATGAATTCATAATCAACGTGCAGATGTCGCGGTTATATAGGATACAAGGCATAAACCTCGATCATATTCACCATTCTATCTTTCCGCGTTCTCTTGTAAATCGGTGAAGGAGATTAACCCGATTATCCTTATTATTAGTCAAAATAAGCTGATCTTCAGTTTATATTGAGACTTCCAGTCGGTCAGCTCGTGTAATTCACCTCATGATCAGTGATCAAAAGCCTCAAATGAGTGAATCATTCTAATGCTAGCGCTATCAATTTGTCAGCAACGTTAAAATGAGATCGTCAGCATAATGCACACATTCATTTTGATGGTTCACAGGTGGAGGCACTAACGAACATAACAGAAAACTGGAGTTTGGATGGCTCTGGAAGATTACACGTGAGTGCAGCTAGTACTGGACTAAGTGCAAAGGATCCAGATACTGATGTGCCAGATTTTGTTACGACACGAACGGAGTGGGATAAGGTTCCACCACTTTTGGTTAACGATGCTATTCTCCGTGGGGATGATTCGCCAACGTCACCGACTAAGTAAGTGTGAATTCTTATTAGATTCAGTCTTTTTTTGAGGGAGAATATTGCAGTGATGAATCAGAGATTACGAATCGCTAGGTTTCATTATACATCATGAGCGCGCAGGTGGTTTAATAATAATACTCCGTATATTTGCATAGTCAACAAATACGTTTACAATTCACCAATATCTCTGGAATAAGTTCCAGTAGTTTGATGTTGAGACCAACTACACTTTTCTTTGAATCTTCTGTATTTGTTAGTACCAAAAAACTGTCGATTTGATAAGCAGTATATGGACAGTCTGAAAATCATACTTTCTATATTGTCATTGTTTAAATAGCTTTGATACTCATCAATAGAACGATCAAATAAGAACAGTTTGGTCGTAGAATGGAACTGCCTTAAAAGAATTTTCACATTTTCAGTCTGTCGAAAATGTTCTCACATGCCTATTGCAATGAACATAGCCCCCATTATATAGGAGCAAACAAATACATAAACTACATCATATTCACATCCTACAGGTTCATTTTAAAGTGTCTTTTTTCATTTCATTCCAATTTCTTCGGCAATTTTAAAGACATTGGTAATTATGACGAGCAGAAAATAACAACGTTTTTACTATAGTATACAGGTATTGAAATTTAATACATGTTCGATTAGCACTCCATTATCAAGGGATATCAAATTTTTTAATCTAGAATTTGGACCTATGTACATTGAAAATTCAAAATAGAATATTGCAGTGACGCGGCAGGAATCAAAGCAGCGCTGAATGTTTCCAAGCCGTGGTTACCTTGTAGGATGGCTCGTCGAGAATCCATTTTAATGGTTTCTATTGACGGTGGTAGGTTCTTGTTATAGCTGACTATTAGTGAGGGGATTGGATTAGAGTAGATCAATGATGTATGAGCAGGTCATTTATATTATGACTATTTTGAGACGTACGTGAATGCAAAACGATAAATGTCTACATTGTCTGCCGAGAAAACTCTAAACGTTGATATTTCGATTGGCTTGAGCCCAGGCACAGGCTCGATCATGGGTTGACACTCGGAATCAGACCAGACTTTCCCATTTGATCCAATGTATGTTTGCTTTATGACAAAATTCTTTTGAGTTTCAGGTTCTTCAGACTTGCGTCAATTATCGTATCCGTCAGAAGATTTGTTCATGGAAATGAACAACTTCAATCAAGAAGAAATTCATGAGTTAAGTAAAATGATAATGCTGAATTCATGTGTTCATCTTCATTGAAAGCCAAATTATGATGGGAGTTTATCTGGAGAGTTTGTCCCCTTTCTATTCATCACCTTGAATCTTAACAAGTGACTCGATCGGAGCACTGGAATGATTGCTCATTCATGCTGAGTTTTCCTTTGTCAGATCCTTAACAGTAGTAGCAATGACAGCAGTAGTCGCACCTAATTCTGGATCGTTCCATCATAATTTAAAGAGGCATTTTCCTAATTTATTTTGTTTGCATTCATTTATTTGATATAGTTTCTAATGATTTGATTTGTATCACTTTATAACATTTATATTAATCGAATAAACTCGTTTTCATTCTAAATTTTGAATCCGATATTTTGGCGTTAATATTAATCTGAATACCTCAGAACTTTCAATACTTTGAGTAATCATTTCAGCGCGTTGCTGAAAACACCTACATTTCACTCCCGAACACCCGTAGAGCAGCCATCGTTAACCCCCGGCCCGCGGGCCAAAATTGCCCTGCCGATAATAATTTTTGGCCCGCCAGATGAATTTGAGAATTTTATTTTAAAGGGTTAAAAAACGAAAACAAAGAAGGTTTTAAATTATTTAGCTATTACACTAAAGTGATTTTCGACACAGAATTTCCCAATAGACGCCTAACTGTGTCGCCGTCGCCAACACATATATTTTCTCCTCATTAATGCATTTTGAAAAAACTGCTCGGAAAGTTTTGGCCCACGGTCAAATTAACTTGCCAAAGACTGCTCTAAGACCTCCTTCAGAGATCTGGAGGAGAGGGAGGGGGAGAGATCGTCCGTCCTGATAACCTTCCCAGAATCATGAGGATAAATGTTCCAACACGTATCATATTATGAGGCATGGTCCCTCACAACTACCGATGTTTAATGAACGATTATTTCCATTATTCGTGGAGAAGCGTCGCGACTTGCATCTACCCATCTCGTGTTTTATCTGTCGTGCTGAAGTTTTCAGCATCTTCACGAAGTTATCCCTTACCGTAACGACAACACCTTTCGTATCCACCCCCCATGGAATTCGGAATCGATAGATTCGGAATCATTCTGAGGAAAAGGTGCACTGAGGTAGACAGCGTTTCGGTGATATTAAAGAGGATATACATCAACCCGAGTAAAGAAGTCGTTAATCATCCGGAAATTTACCATCAAAACCGGCGAAAGTTCGGCTGCCACTTCGTATATGACGTACAACGATTGTTCATTCCTTAAATGGCTAGTTCACTGATAATGCGAGAAGGGAGAAGTTATAGATGGAGATATTTCAGAATTGTTCTAATTGTGAGCACTACTGATAGTTGTTTGCACTTTTACAAAATCGTTTGGATGTGATTAGAATTTTGCTCACGTTTTTATTATCATTTCCTTCACAATTTTCCTGGTTACGTAATTAATTTTTTAAAAGATGAAATCCATTTACTCGTTTTGAATAGCTCAATTTTCCCGAATTTTCAGGCTCAAACAATTTATGCAAAATTCATGAGCGATTGCGCCATGAGCCTTCGCATTCTGAAGTGTCTGTTTTTCACGTTATCTGTAAACTCCTTGTTAGCTCGAGAAACTTCCATTTCAAAAGTTGATGCGTTGTTGTCAGAAA